CGCGATGCGAGGTAAAATACCTCTGGTAGCTACCGGTAAAATACCTAGGTAAATTACCTTTAGTATTAATAATCGCGTTGGAATGTTACGGAAACTTCCGGAGTTTTCTTGAAGTTAATAATCATAGTTCACGATACTGTCCAAATTTCATATAAATAGAAGCTGTTTCTACTCCTCTTGAAGGAACAGTTGATATAGAATTGAATATTCTAATAACTCGAAATAAAACATTGTTTATAAACTGATATCTTTCTTGGTGAATTATATAGTTTATATTGTGACTTTCTTAGTGAAAACCCTCTTGATATTTGCCTTGCTTTGTGATCTTGGCAATTCTTATTATTATTACTCTCTTCTTGGTGATAAGAGTAATTATTGGTTAATAATATCCTGCTTCATGATCTCGGTATTATAGTTACTTAGAATTTAATCCTACTTTGTGATCTAGGTTAAATTATTTGTGAATTTGTTTAGTTTCTTGATGAAACTTGGTTGTCTTTGTGACTTATAACAATAGTTAATTAGTAAATCCCTATAAAACCTCACACTCTTAATCTCTTTTGACCAAATTCGTCTTATCTAAATCCTTTTTATCATTACTTTATTCATAGTAATATCCGTTCGGCTGTAATTAGTTGTTATAGTGTTTAAAATCTATAAATACAATTCACACTACTAGTCACTTAGTTTTCTTTGATTTCTTTAGAAGGTAAACCAAGATTAACAACATCTACTTATACCATAGACTCTAGTTCCTAACCTTTTTATCATATTAACCAGATCAGCTAATCCCTTAGACATATTGTCTAATGTTTTTAATACATTTGGATCATTTGTTTCTTTTCTCATTTCTATTTCTTTTCCTTTTCTATCTTTATTATTATTTTTTTTTCAAGACTTGATTATATTCATCAAGACAATTTTCAATGGCAAAAAGTCTTTTTGTTATATTTGTCAGAACTTTAGCTACTTCTTCCATTCCCCCATGCAACTCTTCAATTTGTGCAGTATACAAATCCATTGTTTCTATTATATTTTGATTAAATTCATCAAATTTTTCATGTTGTTCTTCAATTTTATTCTTATTAATATCTTTTTCAATATCATTAGCTTTCTTCTTAACTATATCTGTGTAAGTATTTTGGTTTGGAGTAGTTTTTATTAGATTGAAATAATAATTTGATTTATATTTTTTATACAAATTATCAAATTGTTTGATTTTTTCTTTTTTATTAAAAACTAGTTGTTTACGATATTTATTTACATTACATTCTTTTGTTTTATGTAAATCTAAACTACAAATGAAACAAAGAGATATTATCATAGGAACCATCCTAATTATAATTTTCTCCATTAATTTCATTGTGCTATACTGGTATTTCTGCATTTCTTCTTCTGAATCAAACAAAATAATCACATAATTTTTCCTTTTATATCTTTCTCTAGTTCTTGGAATATAAATTATATGACCTTTGATATCTTTAACAATTTTTTGATATCCAATGCTATCATTCCTCTAGATAACTGGATTAACTTTGCTACATATTTATTTCTATTATTTAATTCTTCATAACTAGTATCACCTGATGTAATTCTTAAACAATCCATTCTAATTCAAATTGACCATTCTGTTGATAATATTTCTGCGACTTCCACATTTTCAAATTCCACATGACCTAATTGTCACATGTCTTTTGTTAAATGTAATTGTTTCACTTTTCTAAAATGATTAAAATGTAACATCAAATCATTTCTCTTTACATATAGAGGAATATTCCAAATTTTCCATTTGCACAATTTATCATATTCATTAAATAACTGTTTCACCACATCTTGCATATAAATGTGATTTTCAGTATTCCCTAGATTTACTTTTTTTTGCTTTTTGTACTTCTTCTTTATTCAAAAGATATATTACTATATTTTTAATTTTATTGGTTGTTTCAATTTTTCCAAGAATCACTTCAATTTGATTTT